TTTATAGCTTATACTTATGTTGCCTTTTTTTCCTATTCCAAAACATTTTCCTCTTTGGAGTTTGGAAAAACCAAAGGAAATAACTCCTGAAACATTTAAGTTTTGTTTGCTTTCTTGTATTTTGCATTTTACTATCAACACTGAAATTGTAAAACATTCATAATAGAAGATGTGGCTGGCTTAACTTTCCCCATCTCAAGGTGAGTCCGTGGCACTCTCATGCCTGGTACTGGTAAACGTGACATACTGAATTGCAATTATTCATTTTCATGCACGGCTCCTAGAGGGCAGGGAGCAATTTTTGGTAATCTAGAGCGCCTAGCATATTAAAAAAACCCCACTTAACTGAAATAACGATTAACAGTTTGAGTGTGGGATAATTCACACTTGAATTTATGTTTTACAACTTAATGCATACTATTGCTTAGGAAAAGAAGTCTGCTTCCAAAACAATTATTTCTTTAACTATACGATAGTATGACAGCTCTGCAGACTACCTGAAGCCATTGTTGTAAAGCTCAAAAATGCTGGTGGGACCTGCCTACAATCCTCTGAGTGGTGCGAAGAGTTGACATACTCAGATGCTAACCAGAAGGTTGTAGGTTTGAGTCCACCTAGAGACCCCTCAGAAGAAAGCCATGACGACCTGTTTTGGAAAGCTCACAGCCTCCTGGGACTGTATGGAACATAGCTCCACAGTTCAAAATGCACATGCAGGGCCACCATGGACTGGAGTTGGTTTAATGTTAAATTATGGCAGCTCTTTATAGACATCACATATTATTAGTAAAATCTTTAATAATAATTGCTACTTTTAGAGAAACAAGTTTGATTTTTTTCTGAGGAAAAGAGTCCTCCTCCTATTCACTTGACTCACTTTTCCTGATTCTGATAAGATTCAGATAACTGGCTTTTTGGAATCTCCATGCAGTTGTTGACATAGTTGTTATCAGGATCAGGAGTGGTTAGTCGGATATAAAAGGCGGCTAGGTGGAAAGAACGTTAAAACAGATACCAATGAGACAAGAAAGGCCTAAAATTTCATGTTAGTCAATGGAAGGCAGAGATCAAAGGAATTGTTCAAGGCCAAGCCCCACCCACTCAGAACCAGCAAACAGAACAAGTAACAGTAGACCAAAGCACCTGATAATGCTGATATGCACATACACACTAGCCCCGGAAGCAACCTGATTGGTGGTTTTGGTGCATGAGTGACATCAAGAACAACAGATCAGAAACACCAACCACATTTTGAATCTTTGCGACATCAGCCCATTGGCCTAGACTCAGGCCCCACAGCGCTCAAATGTGGGAGTCAGTCAGCTATATGCACCAACATTACCAGTGGCCCAGCGTCTTTTCTCTCTGCCTTTCCTAGCACCAGAGAAATGGCCCATCTCACTCTTTGAGATGGATCTTTTCCAACTAATCTGACTTTCTTTCACCTTTATTTCTGTGTCCTGGCTTTTTCTCTCAACCACGTGCTCTAACAAAGACTTGGCCCGTGTCAGCGGCACATAACCAGCCAAACCCAGGGGATACTTCTACAGCCAATGTTCCTGTTGAATATGACTGCAGGCAGTTAGAGTGTGACTGACATCAGATTTACTGCTTTATCTGTCCACCACTCTTGCTAGGACAAATTGCCACCAACAAGATGAAAATGGATCAATTCACCAAATCAAATCAAATCAAACTGTCAGCATGTAAACTCTATACACTGCAGTCTGTAGCACCAACAAGAATGCTTGTGAGACGACCCCTTGGATGGGAAGAAATGGAGCCTAATGATTAGAAGAATCAATCATACACTTAATTTGCTTTTTGCAAGTTGTTTAGCTTTCCGAGCCTCATTTTTTATTGTAAATTTGGGATATCAATACTTACACAACAGAATTTTTACAAGACTTAAAAAACAGGGTGCTTAAGTATTTGGCACATTGATCAGCACAGGATAGGTGGTAAATAAAAGGAAATAATATTACCTATAGTAACCAATAGTGCTTTTATTAAATAATAATTACCTAGATTAATAACATAATAGAAATTAGTTCACTAATAATTATTAGGCTTACGTATGCCAGGCACTATCTCTAAGGCTTTGTGAGTATCAACTAATTTACTTTTCACACATATTTAGATAGTGAGTGACTTTTGTTGTTCCAGGTTTAATAGAGACTGAGAGAGGTTACATAAATTGTCTAGGGAAAAAAAGACACAAGCAGGTTTCAAACTCAGGCAGTTTGACTATAGAATCTGAGTGCTAATGGTCAAGCCATACCACTAAAACCTTCCTGGTCAGTGATAACGTTAGACTCAGTGTTGTGGTGAAATACTCTTTGTTGCCATTCATTGCTTAGAACCTTCAGCAGGCAGTAGACTGCACGGGAGGAAATTGCCTGTCCTTCTCCTGCACAGCAGCAGGTGGACTTGAACTGCCTGCCTTTCGGTTGGAAGTGCAACTCTTTACCTACTAGGCCATCAGATTGGGTAGTTTTTGCTTGGTCCTGAAAGGAAGAACATATCACACATGTGATTGTGGTTCTTCAGAGGCATCTGGAGTCCAGGCATCAGCATGAGTTTGTGTCCACTAGATGGCATTGCTGTTTTAATGAAATCTACACCAAACCAAGTTGAGCCTAGAAACCAACCAACCAACCAACCAACCAACCAACCAACCAACCAACCAACCAAAGAAAACCTCCAAAATCCTTTTCCACTGTGGAAATTTGTAGACTTAGGAGTCTGCTAGATTTGAGAAGATTTACAGAATAATTTAACTGTAACACTAAACTTTGAGTGGAAGAATCCACTAAAATTTAGGTCCTTATGAAATATTCTTTGAAACAATGAAGGAAAGGGCATTTTATGGACCTGTGGTGGCATAGTCTGTGAAGGGCTGAACTGTGAGCTCAAAGACAGTGCTGCCTCTCCAGCGGTTCGAATCCACCACTGGCTTCAGGGGAGAAAAATGAACTCTCCGCCTGGGCAATTTTCACCCTCTGAAATCCTGCTGGTGGTTGGCTATGAGTTGGTTTCAACTTGATGGCAATGGATTTGGTGAATTCGTTTTAGGTGTCAGAATTGACTGCTGGCTATCCCATCCACTTTTGGTTTTCTGATATTGAGAATCACATGGGAGGAGACTGCCTGTCTGTCTTTCTCTCCCAGAACCACCGGTGGATTTGAGATGCCAGAGAGGTGTGGCCTTTGGGGTAGCAGGGCAGCTCCCTAAGGACTAGGCCGCCAGAGCCCACACACCTTGGAAAAAGACAATATGCTATTGTTACATCATGCTGGGCTGATGGTACTAGTGGTCAAGAATATAGCAACTTGCATGTGTTCATATGAGCTTACTCTAACCCTTATAAACTTTCTGCATGCAAGACTGAGAAGGTGATTAAATATGTAGCATGCAAAGAACAGTGACGGCAGTTATTATTGAGCACTTGTTTATTATGTTATCAATATAAAGTAATGAAGCCAACATCAGTATTTTACAAGCACTAGCGTATTTAATTCTTACACCAGCCCTATGAGCTATTATCTCCCCCTTGTTAAAAAGAAGAGCAAACTGGAATGAAGAAACTTACTCCAGATGCAATAATAAACCATAAAGAAAGGCACTGAGTGCAGGTAGCCTGTTCTGCACCACTGGGCCATGTCACCTTTCTGGTGGGATGTGAGCTGTCTGAGCTCTAGATTTCTCTCCTTAACACTCGAAACCCTTCATTGAGGCCTGCAAGAAACTGCTGTTTGAAGAACTCTTTGCAAGTGCTGTTAACATGCAGCCTTGTAACTTACCCAAGAGGCCAATGTGTTAAGTCTACATCAATATTTTTATAGCAGTTTGCTAATGAGATTAGTTGCTTAAACATTTAGAAGACTACTGAGTTGAACAGGGTAAAACAAAGCTGCTACAGGTCAGCAGGGTCCATGGCCTTCTGATGGCCCCTCCTTAGGGACAGGGACATTGCAGCCAACACAGGGTCGGGTTGCTGATGCAATCTTGCCAGTGACTGGCCGTCCTCCCAACTGCTTACTTGTTGCCCTTACACTCTGTAACATTCCACACTGCACTCTTTCCATTGCCAATACGTTCAGGCTCTAATTCATACACAGAATTTTTGAATTTGAACGCAGAAGAGACAAATAACTTCTCCTTTACTCCTGCTTCTACCAAGAAGGAAACTGAGGCCCAGCCTGCTTATGTTTTCTCAGAGGGGGAGTTTAAGCCCTGATTATGCTATCAGACTGTTGTTGTTAAGTGCCATCGAGCTGTAGACGACTGATAGCAGCCCTATGAATGAAAGACCCGAACACTTGTATAACTTTTATCATTTCTCCACGTTCATAGAGTTTCCAGCGGCAAGCTATTTCAGAAGTGGATGCTACTTCTTTTCCCAAGCTTGTTTTAATTGGGAAGCTCCACCACTGTCCATTACCACATTTGACACATCAGTGCCACAGTATTTAGCATAACAGCAAACACGAGTTATCTCTGTACAGCAAATGGACTGTACTATTTGTATACCCATTAACTATTTTACTTTTAATAGGATCACTTTGGATGCTGGCTGAAAAGTATCAATAATTTTCCCTTCAGTGGTGAACTCAAATATGACAGTACTCGCTCTTTATTGATAGCATCTTTCTGTTTATAGTGTGTTCTGCTTTGTTTTGCTTTTATAGGGTGAAGGAATAATGACATTTATCAGAATATATTAATGCATATAGTTCTGTCAGTAGAAGCTATGGAGATAAAGAAGTAATATTCAGACTCAGACTCACTGTTGGTGAGTTGGTTCGACCCACAGTGACCCTCCTTTGGATTTCTGAGGTTGAAAACCCCCTTGGAGTGCCCATCATTCTCCCAGTGGAGGGCTGGTGGATTGGAGGGTGATAGCCCATGGACTACACCACCACTAAGTGTGCTATGCAGGACACAACAACTTAAAACAGCATTTCTGAGCATCAACTAAAAGAACGAATCCACTTACCAATTTCAGTCATTGTAATTCCTGGTGCTAACTGCCCATTGTTGAAAGAGCTATAGGTAAACAAGTTGGGGACGGAGGTGAGGTCATAGATAGGTTCTTGCTTTATCTGTTTGATTCCAGTCATGTCAAGTCCCGACTGGTCGGGGGATGGCTGGCCTGAATCCACGCTGTAATAACCCTCGGACTTGGGCAGGTCAATGACGTGCCCGTTGGCGTAGCTGCCGCCGCTGTCACTGTTGAGGCTGCTTAGACCATTGCTGATGCTGCCACTGTACACACGGGCCAGGGCCTCGGCCTCCCCGCTCTGCTGCTGCCGCTGCTCCTGCAGCCGCTGCTGGTGCTTCTGCACCTCTGCGTACAGGCTGTCCCTCTGCTTCTTGGACATCCTCCCGAACTTCACAGCTGGAAGGGGGGAGAGGAAAGCAGGACATGACACATGCGGTTGTTCTCTTTAGCCACCTTGATGCCACCGGATCAAGAGCGCATGCCCTCTTTGGCATCAAATACACAATCTCTTCCCTTCATTTGCATTCCACATTTTAGTTAGTGTGTAGATTTAGCTGGCCTGATGTACCTATTAGTTTGGCCAAATTCTAGCCTAGTTGCTATTCCATAATATAATCTAATACCATATAATTGATCACTCGAAAGGGTGGGGGTGTGTTTCTTCAGGGTGTGGTCGGCTTTCAGACTATAAATCGGTCTTGGCAGAACTACTGCTCTCTTCCTGTTGCCTGATCTATGGTTTTGAGACACTTTCTTGCAGAAATCTCTAGTCTTCAACTGACCTATGGAATTTGGGAGAGAGAGAGAGAGCACAAGAGCGAGAGAGAGTGTGAGTAGGGTGATTTGAACATATATGTACTCACTCTTAGAAATAGTTAGGTTCCAAAGACCTGGTCCTTATACGAAAATCAGCATTATGCAAAAATGGAGCATGATCACATCAGATCAGAAAATGAAAGATGATGTCAATATTATATAGTAAAAGATGATACTATTATATAATTTCCATATACATCATTACTTAACTGCCGAGCCACAGAGAAACCAGCCAAGCTGACACACCTTAACCGTTACTGCTACGCTTCCCATGCTCTTCCTTAATACCGGACATAATTATTTTAGAATTATAATTATCATTATTTTGTCATTATAATTATTTTAATGCTTAAACTAATTTAATAACTGATTTTCTTGTTGTTGTAAGTGTGAAAAGTTGGTAATAACGAGGTTGATAAGTGAAAAGTTGTTGTTAGATGCCATCGACTATGAGTCATAGCAATCCTATGAACAATAGGTCTGAATTTTGCTGTCCTGCCCCACTTGTTGTTGATGATGAACAATGAAACTGAACTCTGCCCAGCGTGTGCACATCTCACTGGTTCTGCTTCTCTAGGCAACCCTGATCGAGATAGCACCCAAACTGGTTTATTTCTATTGTTAGTGGTGGCTTTGAATCAGTTCTGACTCATGGTGACCTCATGTATGGTTCCATAGAATTTTCAAGGCCACAGTATTTTGGAAACAGATCACTAGATCTGTTCTCCAAGTACTTCTGGTTGACCTTTCAGCTAGCGGTGCTTAATCACTTGTACCACTCAGAGGCACTGTTTTTGCCTGTAGATAGTGAGAACTAGATCAAAGTGAGGAAGAAATGTAAATATATTTGTAAGCATCTCCTCTTGCTATAACATTAGAAGATAAATTCATTGTTCATTCTTACGTAGGCAAAACACTAAGTAAAATGCTACCAAATAACATCTAATATTGAGATGTCAACCAGCACTCATTAGTTTTTGAAATTTTCCTCTAAACATTAGGACTGTAAATTCTTGCATGGAGCCCTACTGTTGACACACATCAGTGACCTTACTTGTAGATCTATTTCCCAAATAGAAAATATTGGGTAAGATTAAGAATGTGAGGCTGGGTAAGTAATAAAGATAATTCCAAGTAAATTGCGCTCTTACACACTTAATTATGTACACACACACAAACATGTGTTCCAAATCCCAATATCATATACAGCAGTTACAATCTTATTGGTCATGGGTTCTCTTTGTTAGGTCAACAAAGCAGGTAAGGTGTACTTTGAGTCAGCCTTTTTTGAGATAGGAAAGAGATTAAACAACTAAACAGAGAAAATGGAGTACGATAGATTCCAACACCCATAGAGACCTCCAAGGAAGCAGGAAGCAGAGGACATGAAAACAAAACCGTCCTCCAGAGTTCCAGTGTAGACTCCTGGTCTCCTAGACCATGAGGAAATAAACTTATGTTTATTAAAGTCATCCATTTGTGGCATTTCTGTTATTGCAACACTCGATAACTGGGACAGTCATCATTTGCCTTCAGGGATCAGATGAAAAGAATCTTCAGAAAATAGTCATTTTATGTCCTCAACATCTAGCAGATGCATCCATAGTAGCCCCCTTTTATCAGCCTGACTGGGTATATTTGCAGACAAAACCTGTAGCCATTTCAAGGAAAAAGGAAGAAGAGGCTCTGCAAGTGGTCACAGAGCAACATGGAGACGCTTACACCTGAACACACAGTTTCTTTACTTACAGAGTTTAGCTTTCTCAAATCTTATGTGTGCTGACATTTCCCCTCTCAAGTTGTCAGCTCTTTTCTTAGACTGTGAGAAAAGAGCTACCTTGTTTGAATTATCACCATGGTGTTCAGCACGTGTTCATGGTGATGATCATAATAACCCGAGAAGGTTCCCTCAGGAGGATTGCCTCCTCTCCTTTTGTGACAGTGTTCCTGTCAACTGCTGGTATTGGATCTCAGAGAATGTAGAAAGCAATGAGTGGAGGGTAGAAAGACGTCCAACAGCTGAATTCAGTTACTAGGGTTGGTCTTCTTCTGATAAAATAATTGGTCAAATGCTCAAGAGCTCTCCAGCATGAAGTGCTCATGAAGGCCATTTCTGCTGCCACAGACACTGTCATTCACCCCCAGGAACACAACACTTCACTGACATGGAGTTGGTTCCAACTCATAAAGACCTTGGTCAGATTTCTGAGGCTGTAAATTGCAGGCTTCCTGGTGGATTAGAAATGCCAGACATGTGCAGCCTTTGGGTTAACAGTACAAACCACTTATGGACCACACACCAGTGGGATTCTCTCCCCCAATAATCGTCCAATAGTCACAGCTACTGTTTTCCTTTGGTTATAAGATCACTACGTTTCATGTGTACCTAGACTATTTAGGTTGAAGACCACATTTGCTAGCTTTCTTCTCAAGGTAGCCAGGTACGGCTCTGTGATGAATTTCTGGTAAACAGGAAGCACATGGAAGTGTGAAATACATTTCAGGGTGTACACTGCAGCATTGGAGTTTGCTCTTTTCCTTTTTCTGCTTGTTGATGTGTGGATGTAAGAGCTGAACTTGGAGAAGCACATATTCTTCTCATTTCTCTTTCCTTCTTGTTAAAGGCCTATGTTGTAGCATTCTGGCACAGTTTAAGAGTACAACAAAGTGGTAATACCCAGTAATTTTTATGAGTAAAGATAGGTAAGCTGATTAATTGCACGAACTCCGCCCGCCCCCCCCCCCACATCGTATTAGTTAGTGCTGTTGAATTGACTATGGCTCAGAGCAACTCTGTGAATAAATGATCTGAACCCTGACCTGCCTTGTGCCATCCTCAAAGTCACTGACACACTTTACTGTATCAATCCATCTGGTTGAGGGTCTTGCTCTTTTTCTCACTGGTTTTCCACCTTTCTAAGCATGATATCCCTCTCCAAGAAATAGCTTCTCCTAGTAACATGCTCAAAATATGGGATAGAAAGCTTTGTTACAATTGCCTCAAAAGAACACTCTGGCTGCACCCTCTCCAAGACATATGTTTGGGGTTGTTTTTGGCAGTCTATGGGATAGTCACTCTTCTACATTACAACAACTCAAAAGGATTAAGACTTCTTCTGTCATCTTTAGTCATAATCCAATTCTTAGATTCATAGCACATGTTTGAAAAGGTCATGGTCTGAATTAGGTGTACCTTAGTCTTCAAAGTTACATCATTGCTCCTCAATAATTTGGAGAGATCCAAGACAGCAGACTTTCCCAGTGCAATATATCTCTTGAACTCCTGATTCCTATTACCAAGGGTGTTGATTGTGGGTGCAAGGAAGAGGAAGTAGTTGATGGTCTCCATCTTATCTCCATTTATTATGATGTTGCCTATTAGCACAGTGGTAAGGAACTTTTGTTTTCTTGATGTTGAGATGTGACCATATTGAAGGCTGTATTCTTTGATCTTCTGCACCAAGTGCTTCAAGTCCTCTTCATTTTTAGCACCCGAATAATGTAGGTTATTGAGGAGTCTTTCTCTGATTCTGATGCCACCTTCTTCTTCATTGAGACTTGCTTCTTGAAAAATTTTCTCTGCATACATACAGATTCAATAGATATGGAGAAAAGATACAAACTTGACACACATCTTTCTTAATTTTAAACCATGCTTTATTCCCTTGCTCTGTTCACAGTACAGCTTCTTGGTCTAGGTATAGGTTTTGCATGAGCACAATTTAGTATTCTGGGATTCTCATTCTTCTCATTGTTAGCCATAATTTGTTATGATTCACATGGTCAAATGCTTTTGCCTAATCAATGAAACACAGGGTAACATCTTTCTGATATTCTCTGCTTTCAGGAGAATCCATTTGAAATCAGCAATGATATCCCTGGTGCTATAGCTTCTTCTGAATCTGGCTAGAATGTCAAGCAGTTCTCTAAGTACTGTTCCAGCTGTTTTTGAATGATCCTCAGCAGTATTTTGCTTGCATGTGAGATTGATGATATTGTTTGATAATTTTCACATTCTACTGGGTCAACTTTCTTGGGGATGAAAACAAATATTGACCTCTTCCAGTCAATCGACCAGGCAGCTCTCTTCCAAATTTCCTGGCATATTATGGTGAGCACATCGAGGGCTTGGTATCCCATCTGTTTTGGTTTTTCTTTCTCCTATGTTTTCATAGTGACTCTTTGTTCTCTTGATGATTTCCTTAATGCCACATCACAACAATTTGGCCTTCAGTCATTGGTGTTCAATGCTTTAAGCCTTTTCTTAAAATGATTTTTAAATTCAGGTGCGATCAACTCAAGATAATATTTTGGTTATCATAGATGTGTTTTATTTTTCTTTGGCCTCCATTTAAACTTGCACAGTAGCTGATGATCGTTTCCACAGCACTGGTCTGGTTTTGACTGCGGATATTGAGTTTTTCTAACAATTCCTTCCACAGATGTAATCCATCTGATTTCAATGCAGTCCATTATGTAAGGTCCATGTGTAAAGTTTCAGTCTGTGGTTTTAAAAATCTATTTGTGATGAATAAATCTTTAAACATGCAAAATTTGATCATTCCATTTCCGTCTTCATT